TTTTTCTTAAAGGGAACCATGACCCGTTTAAAAATGTTCCCGTAAATATGTAGTACATATTGTTCCCATTACCCTAAAACTTGTGGTTTGCTATACCTAAAATGTCATAATTACTAAAAGATTTATATATCCTTTGTTATATTTTTTACCCATGGAAGTCACCAGTTTTTTTCACCTGGAATGCATGCTTGATGGATCTCTAGAGCAATAGGACCTAGCATACATAATTTACCCATTGCATCATAAAACAACATGCCAACATCCCTGTGGCAATATTTTATGTAAATGTATTAAAGGTAAAAAGCTTACAATGTTTCTAATATATTGTAGTTATATCAAAAATAAATATTTCTGAAAGTCTATTGTTACAAATACTTGTGAATTATTTTAAGGTGAAGGCCTGGGACCCGATTCTCATTAACAGTCTGTATCTCATGTGATAAGACTTGAATGCAGGTTGGTGCTGTATGTTATCCACAAAGAGGTGGATCCAAATCCCCTTTTGTGTGTCTGATGCATTTATTTTCTTTTTTTAGCCATGCATCTGCTCTATATGGCTCATAGATCCCCTGTTAAAAACGGTGGAATTACCCATCGGAGGATGTTCCTTTAGTCTGATTTTGTCAAAAACAGAAAAAGCAGATCGTAGACATCAAACATTACCTAAGCCATCCTTCTCACTTTAAGAAAATCATTGTAACCAGTAACAAGTTGCTTTACTGTGCTCAAACAGGAAAAATGTATGAAAGAGGGAAAAAATAATTAAATCTCACAGACCACTTAGTGAGTGTAGTATGGTTTTGTGTCTTTGACAAAATTAAACAACTAAATAGACATCTGCTCAGACTGGTGAGTCCATCATTTTTGCCAGGGATTGTCAGGGAATAATCTGTTCCGTTATGTGTGGCTTCTAATAATGACCAGGCACACCAGTCCCTTAAGCTGAACTCTGTGTTGAAGTGGCTTTGGGCTGTTTTAGAACAAAACAAGGCAACATAACTTGTCTTGTTTCTTTTGAAATAATTTTTACTGCTTATTTACCCACTTCACCAGCCCCAGTAATGCACCTAGCGTCAAAAGAATTATGCCTGCAAAGGAAATTTATAATTTAGTAGAAGAAAACAGATGTTTTCTTCTAAGAAATTATGAATTATGTTTTTGCTGATAAAGCAGGCATATAGTCGACATACAAAGCAAGAACAGATTCTGTTCGATTATTAATCTTCCTTTCAAAAGATTCTACTTAAAATATTTGCAACAATCTGGAAGTGCAGTAAGATAATTGCACTTGGTAAGGCTTTTTGAAATCATGAAAAATACTATATATATATATATATATACATATATATATAATATATATATACACACACACACACTTATTAATCTTATTAATAATTTAACAGAATCTGCTCATGCTTAATAAAATTATCTCATAACCAGATCAAAAAGACTATTTGGGATGGACATTTCTGCAGTGAAGTCTTTTTTATTCTTTTGCTCAGCTAAAACTGCGCAAATATGGATGTCCCAGATCATTAAACAATGACATACAAAATGCCATTTTAAAATTTTGGTTTCTTTTACTAGCTATCCAAATTGGCCTTTATGAAAAATTAACTAGTTTTATTTCCACTGGAAGGAACAACCACCAACAAACATTTGGTTTGATGGAAATTTGATCTTTTTCTTTGCAGGATTATTTTATATCGTCCCTTTTCTGGGCTTTCAAGCAAGAATAACGTTTTTAAGGTCATGCCACAACATCTCAGTTGGCTTTTGATCATTGCTCTGCTGCATAATCTTATGACGGTTGAGCTTAAGGTCACAACTGGGTCTCATAGGAGATATTTTCCCCTTTTTCCTCTATTTATGAATATTTTATCGAAGAATGATTCTCTTATATAGCAAAACCTTAAAAATGATTCTCTACCCTTTCCAGACTGATTGATACCAATCACTGTTTTTAGATGAAATTTTAGATAATCTCAGATACTTTAATTTATTTTACTGCACCTAAAGGAAACAAAATGGCAGCCATTAAAAAAAGGCATTCTTAAAACTATGGCCAAAATAACAGATCAAAACTCCAATATCAAATAGAAGTCGACATCTGGCAAATGCCGTCTGTCCACCTTGACTCATCTGAGCATGAGACATCAGTGCTGCAGTGTCTTCCATTCATCATTGGTATACTGTCAGTGTGGAACATGGTACACGCATCAAGTTGTGCTGGAGTCAGGTCACTGCACAAATGTGGCCACAAATGGTCTCAGATTTTCTGTTGATGCTGCTCAAGTCCCTCTCCTATTCTCCCATGACCCATTAATGTCTAGAAGGGATGAAGGGATAGCTCTAGCAACAGAAAAGGATTACATTTTGCCTGTTTCTTTGTTATTTTACATTATTCTGCTCTCACTGTTCTTAGAGCCAAGTTTGGCTGACATGGCTAACTTGACAACTGTCAAAAATATTTTTGGTTTTTGAAATGATTATTATTGTTTAAAAACCAGGGTTAACCAGGACCATTTGCATATGAGGAAATGATTTACCCTGGAAATTGAGGCCAACAATGTTCTTCTTGTGTAAAACATTTACAGGACTAGAACAAGTTTAACATACAACGGTTACTTATAGAGGATATGCATCATCTTGCTGCAAACAATGAAGGTTCAAAGCTTCCTTAGGAAGTACAATCTGCTCTGTCCCGTCTTTTAGACACAGTTTCACAGTGGCATGTCCAGTCAAATGTATTGTCCAGGTAAACACCAAGGTATTTATATTCCTTCACCACCTCCACTTTTTCTCCCATTATGCTAATAGGATTCATCTTGTTTCTGTTTCTTCTGAAATCTTAAAATAATCTCTCTCTAGTTTTGTTCCCATTCAGTATAAGTTGGTTATTACCACTTAATTTTAGCTTCTGGCACCAACTAATCAGATTATATTCTAAATGAAGATGCCAAGAGATCATTTATCTGCTTATAACCTTAATTTTGAAATCTCAAACTATTTCTTCAATCAAGTCCAGAAAGCCATTTGAAAACACTGACAGGAAAAGTGTTCCAGGGAAGAAAATTAATTCTAGAACAAGAGCATTTACACTGTCAGTAATGAAGATTGAATTTTATATGATCATGTATTTATAAAAAAGTTATAGAAATTATTTTTTTTTTTTTCATTTTCCTAATGTATGTTTAAAAACAGTATATTTTATCGTCAAAGGGTTATCTGTAATGGTTTCAATTAAATTGTTTAACCTTGTTTTGTGCAAATTTGTTTTTGTTTTTAATCAATTTATTTGTGTGTGCCTAGTCTGTCTACACACCTGTTTGTGAGTTAAAATTTTGTTAAAAATTGATGACTTTACATGGATTTGTAATGAATACATCAGTATATTCCTGACAGTTAATAAAAAACACATAGAAACATAGAGATCACATACACCCCCTTCTCTAAAAGATTATGTTAAATAAAAAGTCGTCAAATATCTAAGCTTCCAAACTTAAAGCTTGCCTTAGACTATAAAAAAAAAATAAAGGTTTTGCATTATTTACAAATTTGTAACGTTAAAATACATTTCTTAGGTTCTTACTACCTAAATTATATTTTGCTTCCAGCATTCAATTGTAGGTTTTTTTAGTGAGGATACACTGAACTGGCCCATTCCCATAACATGTCAGATCCTGACACCGCCCATTCTCCAAATCCCTAATAAACACTGCAATTAGATATGTTTACCTGATTGAATTTGTTTGAAGACTATTCCTCAGACCTTCAGCAGAAACCACAGAGCTGATTTGGCCAAGTGATGCCTAGAGGACGCCTTCCAAACTTTGGTTTTAGTCAGTCATGGTAACAAAAGAAAATGTCAGCAGACGCCATGAGAGAAACTACACCAGGTTAAGCCTTTTAATACTTTAGTTGTTCCTCTTTCAAAGATGAAATTGTGGATTTCAACAAAAACGGATGTAATAGCAGCAGCTACACGTAGGTCTTCAGGTCTGCCATGTCAGCAGCTCTTGCTTTTGTCAAAGCTACATTTTCTGCCTTATACCAAAATACTATAGCATGATTGGCCTGACCAGTTATCAGTTTATGGTTCACATTCTAAGAATTAAAATGTCAAATTAGTGAAGGAAGTGGTTTTGCATGTTTTAGATGCCTCCCTGTTGCAGCACACCTAATCCTAATGTTTGCCCTTGATTGACCTCCTCAGCAGCCATCAAGTGCTGCAGAAGCCTGTTAATCATTCCTTACTGGACCAGGATTAAGAACAAATGATTTAGATGTTCCGCTTGAGAGTTTCACTGCTGCCACCCTCTTTTATTTATAGGGGAACTGCTTCCTATGGTGGAGAATCTTATCCACATAACAACCAATCACTGGTGGGGGTGGTTATAGGGTTGGCCAATGATTGGCTAATACTGTAGTCGCGATGACCATCTCTGGTCAACCTTTATTTCTGCCCCCGTGAACAGGCCAACAGGCGTCCGGTTCATTTATGTCTTTTAAACTAAGTTGATCAATCATGTTATTAATTTTTTATTCTCAGGTGTGTCATGATTAAAAGTACTATTCTAGACAATTATACAATCCCCCCATCTTTGACAGGATGTTTTTGAGTTAGGATGACTTACCCTGTAGGGAGCAGCCAAAAGGAATCGCATTACTGTATGAAAAAACCTTTCAAACTATGCATCAGTGAGAGTATGAAGGAAACATTCTGAGGTCGGACATGATGTATTCTTCAATTATAACAGCATTTCACCAAATTGCTGTGTGTAATCTAATGGTCAAGAAAAGTTAAACCCAAACTCTTAATTAGTACAAATTTTTTTTAAGTGTACTCAACAGTCATGTCATTCAAAATAGTTCTGTGTAAAACTTCTTGTGCAAAAATTGGATTTGCATCTTCAGGACACATTTTGTTCTATGATATAATGTAACTTAATGATAGCCTGTGTAACTTAATCGCTTTCTTCGTTTTCTGTGTTTCATAGAAAAGCACCAAGACAGCAATGGAGCTGGGCAGGACATTTGGCACCCTGTTCTCTGACATCTCCTTCAGACAGAAGCTGTTGGAGACAAAGACGCAGGAGGAGTTTAAGGAGGCTTTGGTTTTCCAGAGGCACCAGCTTACTGCAGCCAACCAGCAGCCCATTCCTCTGGGAAAGAAGGAGACGGTTCCCCGCAGTCATAAACCTCTCAAGGTGGGAAACAAATGTCATTTATATTGCCATGGAGTTACAAAAACAATTTAGAGATTTGGATTTGGAAGAGATTAGGATATACATATTAGATCAAATCACCAACAATAACTCTGTTGCAGCAACATGTGCTAGTTGTTTAATGCAGCTTAAAATGTGGGGTAAAAAGCAGACTTCTGCTAGCATTTACATATTATGCAGTGGCACTGTATCATTATGAAATATTTTTAGCGAAAGGAGGGTGGAGGTTAAGCTGATCCCTGCCCTCTGCACTTGCACCACACTCTTGCTTCTTAAATTTGTATGTTTAAGTTTATTATTTTCCATTCATTGCTTAAACAATTTATTTATCTTTCGTTTGAACCTAAAGTGACAGTGTCTGTTATTTTGTAGTCTTCTGTTTTATTTTGGTTTATCTGGTTTAATTTTCTGTCTCTTCTTTTTCAGAATTAATTTGTGTGCCTTTGACACAGTTACTGAGATTACTTTGTATCAGAGATACTATCATATTTAGTTGGTTTTTGTCCTTTCTGGATAAATGGATGGATGTTTAGTTGATGGATGATGGAAGTTTAGTTGCACAAAGAGAAATACAATTCAAGAAGAAGCAAAAACCCAGTTAAATACAATGGTGATAAAAACCCTAATTTAATTAAAAAAAATTTAAAAAGACATTGACATGTTCTACCATTAAACCTTAGGTTTCTAAATTGGCCTTGACTAGTAAGATGCAGGTGTCAGTGGCCACTCCTAAGAATGCTAAGCCAATACCATCCCTCTCCAGCCCACCACCTTGATCCATCAAAGGCCAGACATCGTTAGGATCTATGAGTACCATTTATTTTGTAGTTGGTGGCTAGCTCAAGTGATAAGTCACCCGACTTGCTCACAGGAGGTCCATGGTTTGAATAACCGTCGGGGGAATGAGCTGCAAGTGTGGGTCCTTAGGCAAGACCCTTCATGCTGATGCCTGCTTTGTAAGTCGCTTTGGATGAAGATCCCTTGACTGGGGGTATTATGTAAATTAACATATGAATTTGCTTTAGATAAGACATTAAACTGATAGGGATTTTTCTATTCAGTAGCTATAAAAGATTTTATAAATAACATATTTGAAAAATAAGTATGTCATAAATTTTGAGAATCTTTAAGCTTTGAAGTGAAGGTGTAGAACAGGCATCCCTGAATTTAGTCCTCGAGGGCCGCTGTCCTGCAGGTTTTAGAGGTTTCCCTGCTCCAGCACAGCTGATTTACATTGATAGTTGATTAACAGGCTTTTGCTGAACTGCATTTATCAGAATCAGCTGTGCTAAAGCAGAGAAACCTCTAAAACCTTCAGGACAGCGGCCCTCGAGGACAGACTTTGTGGATGCCTGGTGCAGAGGATAGGTGTGGTCCTTACCAAGATACTATTCTGACAAAGCGTTTTTGGAAAAGTAAAATATGGTACAGGGGGTTGGGGTAAGCACTCCCCCAAACTATGTTAGGCTGTAATATAAAGAGAGAGGACACTTTGAAGTGACAAGGTGGCTAATTGTCCTTATTATACCGATAGTTTCTTTGATCTTCCTACTAACAGAATCAGCCTGCTCTTTCCAACTCAAGCTTTCATCACTAAGAACTCCCAGGAAATTTGCAGACGATACCTGGAGTAATCAGCAGATTCAATTTAGATTACTGTTAAATCTTTATCTTTCTGCCACTAAAATAATCAAATTAGATTTCTGAACATTAAAAGATAATCTATTCAATTGAAATCATGGCACACTTTATCATTGTAATAAAGTTTAAGTGTGTGCTCATTTGTAACATTATTAAAGTCATTTATATAAATAAGGAACAGCAGTTACTGTTGTGTTTGGTAATTTAAGAAAGATAAAAATGGCTATTGAAATCTAAAGCAATGTATGCACCTGTTGTTTTCTTTTGTTTTACTGGGTATTGTTCTTAAATTGATAATCACACCTGTTGCAGTTTAAAATCGAGCAAGGTGAACTCTGTTTAGTAAAGGCTTCTCTTCCTTTAGGAGAAAAGCAAAGAAATTGCAGATATAGATCAAGAAAAAGATAAAAAAAAAATATAATCTTAAAACATGTTTTATTTTATTGAAGGGTAAATATCTGTGTATATGTAGGGCAAGAGGCTTGTATAATTGGCCCTAGGAGGGAGTAACAGGGGCACTGCTTATTGTTTTGACAGACTATTACTTTTATGGCAAATGATGTACGTAGCTTTGGGTGGAAGACTGCCGAAACTTTAGGATACTGGCTATGGTTTCTATCCACACCCTACTCTACAGTGGGGGAGAGGTGTAAAACTTGTGCAACTTCATGATTTTACAGTAAATTCTAAAGGTCCTGTAAAATCAAAAATGAGACTAAAACCGAAAAACATGCAAATAAAACTGCTTTAAGTAGCAAAAAGCACTGCAAGGGAAGAAAAGCTGCAAACTAGCACCACTTGTGTCAGCATGGACTTGGAGCTGTCATTTTTCAGCAGAAAGTTGGGGCTCTGTTGCTATATTGTTATATTCTTTTCATTCTCTGGTCATTGGTGAGATCTCAGTAACTAAAGGGGTGTTTCATTCAGGGGTTGCATCTTTCAAATGACTGGTCTTATGTACACCAGGCTCCTTTAAGGACAATCATATAATCATGAGAAGTATCGAAGTGAGACAGGAATGATTCACCTTACCCATCCTTCAAAACGTGCAAAAGGAGGGCACATTTCTCAGCTGTACTTAATAGTATTAGGAGAATAATGCACTGGAACATCCTTCATTACAGAGCTAAGAAGTAATCGGTTTCCAAATAAAACCATCGAGGGATGGAGCCTCTGAAATTGGACACACCCTGAGATAGTTTTATAACAAACTTTCATTCTGGATCACTGATTTAAGCTATACTAGATTAGAATTAAACTGAAATCCAGTGAAACCATTGGTCTACTGCAGTGACTCCTTTTGGCTTATATCAGTGTGTTGAAGGTAAGGAGGCTGCATACTCTTTACATTTTTCTTAGTTAATTTCTGTCACTTATGATATATACTACCACATAAATTCTTGTAATACATACAGATGCAGTTTGTGGTTGAAGTATGAAAAAGTCAAAGAGATGTCAATACTTTTTCAAGCCACTGTAAATGTAGCTTCTCCTAAATCTGTTCTGCCACCTTATCCTCTCATACCACCTGTCGCCCTGTCCTGCTCACTGAACTGGCTTTACTTTTTCGTCTTTTCTCTCCTCCTAATCAATCAGCATCAACTTCTGTCAGGTCTCCTCAGTGGGTAAATGACCTTACATCTCAGTCTTGTCAGAAGCCACTCCACCCCTTAGCTACACAAATGCACACACACACTCACACGCCAGAGGGGCATTATTCAATTCCATGGCACAGCATCACCTCCTAATGTTACCTTGACAGGCCGTGGCTGCTGGACATTTTCCCTCTTTTTTTTTTTTTCTTTTTTTTTTTTCTTTTTTATACATTTATAGTTTAGGATTTAGGTTTTTATCTCTGGGCTTGAAGGGCTCAGTGTCACTCAGTGAAAAGATTAGATAAAACGTTTAGAAAAATAAATCCTGGAAGACGTGGCCGTTAGAGCAGGTATAATACAGATTTCCTTATTGTTTCCTGACATCAGCCCACCCACAACCGCAAACCACTTCCTTGTACTTCAGCGTAAAACATGCCAAATCTTTGCAGTGATTTAATGTTGTTTTTACCCGTTCAGAGTGAATGGTAAACAGGTGGACGGTTTGAGACTTTGTTTATTAAACATGAGCAAAAAAGCCGATTAGCCACCCAACTCAAACACAGCACAGACGATATAAATAAATGCTTCCATGATGTATGGTGATTTAGTGGTTAAACAGTCTGTGATGAGCAAGTATGTGTGGCCTTATAAAACTAGCTAACAAGAAGAGAAGCAAAACGCTGAGGTTGTTTGTTTTTATGTTGTTTACCTTGAGCTAAATCTCTTTGTTCTGCAAAATGCCATCAAAACTTTTTACGATGACAGATGAGGCAGGAATGATTATGCAGCTCACACATTCTTCAAGCCTTTTAGTTGGTAGTGTAAAGTCATGTTTACCAGGGAAATTAAACACTGGCTAATTGGATAATTAGCTTAATAAGCCCAATCAGGACTTCACATTTGCTTCATGTCTGGTGCACACTCAAAGCTCATATTTTTAAAAACCGCACTCCCGTAGAATCATGTGACTGTCATCTAGGTAATACCTTTCTGATCAAATAAAAAAATCTCTAAATCCTCTATCCTCCACAGCTGTTGTCATCACTCTGTCATCCTTTACCATTCAGTCAGGGGACAGATATCTTTAAACATGTGCCCTAATGTGACCATGATGCTCCACGTACCTTGTTTTGGATAACAGAACCTCGTTAATGCAGATGACTCAAATGCATGACTTGAATGATCCTTAAGAGACCCTTATATGGAGTCACTACTGAATAAGCTGAGTCATAAAATAGGCAATTTTAATCAAATCTGTTATTTTCCGCATTTAGAGCCTCTAGATATTATGCAGCTCCTGGCCTTATGTGTTCTTAAAATTTGTCTTTTGTGACAAACAAAAGAACTAAGCTAATTAAAATAAAGGGATAAAAATGATTTGCTCCAATGCTACTCCACTCCCCCACCACACAATGACTAAACAAAAACAGTTTGCATAATTAAGGCATCGTTCTTTTTCCAACATTCCTAGATGTATTGTGTATTGACGGTATTAAAACACACATTCTTCTACAGGAAGGTTTTGTTTCACTTATATAAACCATTCGCTACCCACTTGTCTAAAGATTTGTGGCTGTTGAAGACAAATGTAAGGTGAAGGAAGTGGAACAAGTAATTTTTTTTATTTAATTCAAATGTATCAAGGAATGTTATCCAATTAAAGGCTGTTATAGTTTTGTTATTTAGTCAAATGTTTTTTGCACCGTCACATGTTCTGTGAACACACTCCCAACAGTGGGATCACAG